TACAAATGGAATTCTTCGCCTTTGCGAACGTTTACGCTCCCGCTCGCATTGAACTGTATATCAAGCTGTAGGCATTTCCATCAATTAAAGTATGCATTTCTGAACACACACTACAGCTCCACAAGTTTTTCGGGCGTTCGGCACTTTTCAGGATTTCGGCGATCTATTCAGCTATAGGTTTTATATTAGAGATTGAGCGCTGAAAGTCGTCCAAGCTCTGCCCAATTCACAATGAATGAAGCATCGAGCGTATTGTGTGAAAGGCAGGCTTCAACGAACTAATTGGGCCTGGCAAATCCACCATAGACCAGGGCCCAATAGCACCACCGGCTTATCACTTATCACTTTACAACTTTTGGATAAGCCTTTTTTTTTCTAATGTAAAGTTGATAAGTGTTGCACGTTTTAATTATCAAAAAAAAAATAAATAAAAATAAACGTATCAACTTATAAAAAAATGAGTAACTGAAAAGTTTTTTGGATAAGTCGAATTGATAACCATGGCATAACAAAAATACAAAAACCACATTCCATTAATTGAATGTTTTCTGTACCGATTAACAAATTGGTACTTAGTATCAATATGTGAACTGTAGTTGATTTGTTATTTTATGACACGCCTTTTATTATTTGTAGACTGTCCTCCTCTAATAAATTTAATACTTCGATTCTAAGCATTTTTTGTGTGTCAATAGTTTATCGAATCACGCGTTAAAACACTGATTAATTCATTCAGACTGAATAAGGGCCGGTTGTTCAATGTCTGGTTATCACCAGTACATTACTATCGACAATTTGGACGTAATGCATATAACATGGGATCGATAAAGCAGTCGTTGTATTAAACCGGAGCTTCTACCTCCGATTAGAGCTAATCAACATTGAACAACCGGCCCTAAACGTAACTTATCACTGGTATGATAAGTAAAATTATTTTCAGCAAAATAATGTTAAAGTTAGCTAAATGAAAAATGACAAGTGATAAATAAAAATAGGGAACAAAAGTGTCTTGATACCCGAGAGGGAACATTAAGGGCCGGTTTCTCTATCTCCGGTTAACACTAATCCCCCGTTAAACATCGTTACCGACCTTATCGACTCCCTGTTATATGCATGGAGTTAGAACGTCGATAACAATGTTTAACCGGGGAGTTAGTGTTAACCAGAGATGGAGAAACCGGCCCTAAGGCTAACTTCACTCAGAAGAAGCGGAGTTGAAATTGAGCCTGTCAGTAATCAAACAATAAAAATTGTACCAAGCATTTGTGTGCGACTGGCAAGTGTAGAAAGATTAATAAATTTTAATCGGCTCGTATAAGGCGGGAGGTTATATTGAGAATCCCAACGGAAATTTCTTAAAGCAAAAAGTAGGAATTGTTTTAGTGATATAAGGGTCACAAAATTCTTTTGACCATCGTTTCACAAAAGCAAGTACACCTTTAGCCTTGTTGACTGTCACATTAATGTGAAGATTAAAATTAAGCTTAGGATCCATTGTGACAGCAAGGTCCACAAAATTGTATACCTGCTCCAGGTTATGGCTCCTATTGTATAAGAAGAGGGCTGAACAGCTCTACGAGAGAAGCACATTACTTTACATTTCTTAAGATTTTGAGGTATAAGATTTACTTTAGACCAGTACGCCACGCTGTTTAAGACCTTTCTTTAATTTAAACGTACGATTTATAAAGCTTTACATCATCCGCATACATTAAATTTTTGGAAAATTGTATATCTGTAGAAATATTGTTTATAAAAGCAAGAACAGAACCGGGCCTAGGTGGCTACATTTAGGGACTCCTGAAAACATCAATGACGTCAGAGATAGTATTTTTAAACATTACCCTCTGTTATCTAACATAGAGGTATGAAGAGATCCAACGTAGAAAATCAGGTGGAAGACCAAGAAGATCAAGTTTATAGATGAGCAACGAGTGGCACACTTTGTCAAATTCTTTACTGAAGTCAGTATATATAACATCAACAGTTTTGCTTTTACATAAGGCTTTTGAGATATAGGATGTTAATTCAAGTAAATTTGTAGAAGTTTATTTGCCCTTGCAAAATCCATGTTGACTGTGTGAAATGCTAAGAGATAAAATGCGTCAACTGATTTGTTATAATTGCTTCAAATAATTTAGGAATTGCAGAAAGCTTAGCTATGCCCCGGTAGTTCTCCACTGAAGATCTGCTACCGCTTTTATGTAACGGGGTTATGAACGATTCCTTCCATATAGTTGGAATAATGCCCTCTTCAAGAGACAAATTAAATAACGCTGTTAACCGCTCATAGAGAGAATCAAGCACAATTTGTAAGAATACAAGTAGGGATCTGGTCAGGACCATAACTGAAGGACCGCTTTAAGGATTTCAAATAAACTACTACATCATCGGGAGATATTAGTGGGATATTTAGAGTTAATTGGACATATATAGTTTAAAAGGATAGTCAATGTTAGCATGTTAGTTTGATTATCACTGGAGATGTATTTCAATACTTCATGGCGGAAGGAAACCTTTATTCAATATTTTCCTTATATGCAGGCCACGACAATTTAGTTCTTTTTTAAGCTTTTTAAAGTCTGCTTTCGAAAAATCAAAGCGAATATTTGGTTCGTATGCTTGGTTACCGCAATTTTGACCATCACTTATAATTTCGTAAGATATCTCCATAGCAGGCTGGTAGACATCTTCGGGCAAAACTAATGGATCACACTTATTTACAACGGAATTAGATGCATCATCAACATAAACAAGATCTAATACTTTACCAAAATTATTGTGAAGTACATTAACCTGAGTTAGGCAGAGTTCAGCCATCTCCTCTAAAAATACATTGTTGCACGCACTAGACGCGAAAGGTACGATATCATTGTCAATGATGTTCCATGATATGCTTGGTAAATTAAAAACACCCACAGTGTTGTGGGAATAGGGCGGTAAATGCAACTCCAGTTTTGTATTAAGAATCTAAATGTTAAAAGCAACCGTGATCTTCCAAAACTTCCACGATTTGAACATGCTTAAATGATAAAAAGTGGCAACATTACTTTTTCGCGTATACAGTGTTTCGTTCATGGTATACAGTGGCTAGCTGCGTTTCAGTGATCGCCGATCGAGATTTCATTTATTATTTCACATTATTCAGTCGCAAAATGGCTGCTCTATCATCATGTGACTTGTCGTGTTATACATAATAATATGTAATAAATATAAAATTCTGAATTGTTCCAAATTAAAATAAAAGATATCTAATAATTCTTAAACTTTGAATATAATGTTAAAAAATAAATTTAAATAAAACATACATATGAAGTTCTTCAAGTGAAATACTAACCATAATGTTAAATTCGTTAAACAAAGAAGATGCAAAGCTAAATAAAGTACCGTTTGCACGGTATATACATAACTGTTGATTGGAAAAATAACTAACACCTGATTTACATGGTTCAAGTACTTGAAAGCAATTCTTGCTCATTCTCTTTTGTGTTTTTTATTTGCTTTTACACGTTTCAATTCTGTTGAATTCAAGTCTTTGGTTCTTTAAATGGGAAGCAACGAAAATGCCAAAAGCAAAGCACGAAAGTTGAAACGACTTGACGGTACAGACGCATGTGTACTCGTCCCTTTTCTTCTCACCCCCTCTCTTCCACATGCGAGCAGAATTGAATTCAATACTTGAACTGTGTAAAAGAAGTCTAAAAACTGCTATAGAACTGATGAAGTACAGTTTAAATTTTAACAAACATCTGACGTATAATTGTAAAATTATTAATTTTGAGATATAACCTGGCGATACGTGGACTTATTTCCCTGCCATTAAATACATACAGATTAATACAATCTAATACATAATTAATAAAAAAATTTAAGACGTTAGACCAGCAGAAACTTTGCACGTGGTTCTGGCCCTCAGCGGTATTACCATACGTGTATTAGTGGAGCAATGTTGGAATATAACATACTAAGGGCCGTTTGCACCATGTCTAGTTAACGCTAACTGGAGGTACATCCTTCAGTTAAGCACGTTAACTGCTTTATCGATCACATGTTATATGATGGGTGTCGGTAACGTCGATAAAGATGTTTAACTGGGAGTTAGAATTAACTAGACATGGTGCAAACGGCCCTAAGAGGAATAACCTGGTGGTGGTTTACCATTAAACCGGCCAACCTACCCAAATCCCAAAAAAAAAAAAAATTACATTATTTGGATAAAAAAAGTTACCCAAATTCAACATCGATGTGATGATGATAGACATCTGTGATCAACTCTGTTTGTTTTGTTTCCTAATTAAGTGAGGAAATTTTAATTGACAGCACGGACAAATGACTATATACACAAACATATGTTCGGTTATGGTTAAAACGATTTAAGTTTTTGTAGAGAATTTTTGGTTCAAATTTTTTTCCTTTTCAGTAGGGTTTTTTGCACACTATTTTCTGCGTGAGAATAGATCTTAATAGATACGGATCTGAATAGGCGACTAGAACACGGCAGTCTGTCAAAAGCATACGATTTCGAGCTCGCGTAAATGTACATTTGCTAAATGCGATAGCATGAACGCTCTTCGAAAACATATGTTCGAAAGTGCTAAATGTTGCACTTTAAATGCAACAAAAACGCTGCATAAGCAAAAACAGCCCATATGATAAGGAAATGAAAGGCAAAGATTTTGATTTTGTTTTTTCGTAGCAAAACTGTAAGCAAAGGATGAAAGAAATGTCAACGAAAACACTAACAGCCGGTGCGAACAGCTTTCAGCCCACAATCCCAAAACTTGTTTTCAAAGTGTTTTCGTTGTCGGTCCGAACATGGTATAAGATCAATTTTGATTTTTGACAGTTTGCGTTATGCCAATTCTTTCCCGAGGTGAGGACTCGCGGGTAACGACTTTGTCATTTTGATGTCATTGCATGGTATGAATAGCTGATTTTATTTCCACTTCTTTTAATGCATATTTATAAATAGCTTACTACGACAAAAATATAGAACTCACCAGCATATACTGCATTTTCATCTACATCTGGCATTGTTGTTTCGAAGCCCAATGGCTCGTAATTTTTTGTATTACAGCTCATAGAATTGGCAGCATTGGAATTTGATGAAAACTGTAAATTTAAATGTGAAATTTTTTTGCATTATTAGCTGTATTCCTTACGGTGAGCGCCGAATATGTACTTACCGATCCTGGTGCTTTATTGGATGATTCATCATCATCTTCTTCATCACTGCTTAGCGTGAGAATTACTGGTTCAATTTCGGCAGCTCGACGTCCACTGCGAGTACTGCGACCCCGTCCAGCACCGCCCGGACCACCACGTCCGCGCGTCGGAGTACCACTGCTAGCGGCACTATTGCTGTAGCTAAGAGCACTTTTAGCTTGAGCTCGTGCTAATAAATCACTTCCACGACGTTTTTCGCTTGGTGCAAGCTCACTGCTGCCAATGGCTTTAGTCGCAGTCGTCTCACCAGCCGTTGAAGTGGTGTTACTGCCTAAACTCTTCACGCATGGGACACGCTTCGGTGGATCGAGGAAAACTCTTTTGCAGCGTTCGCATTTAGCATGGTCGTATCCGCTAAAGCCGCAGCTTTGACAGACAGCAAGAAATCCTTGTATAATTTTACGGGGTACATCCTCTGTTGCTGCTGGTACTGTGGAAGATTTGTTAGTAGTACTGGTTGTTGCTGGACTGTTAGTATGTGCATCTTTATGTGCCGTTTCAGGGACAACAGTAGAATTAGCAGTTTGAGCTGCACTATTCGCCGGATTCCCATAACTAGCAGTTGCCGTTGGCTGTGGAATGGTGCCCTGTGAAACAGTTGTATTTCCTCCGCTGCTAACTGAAGCAGAAGCAGAATTAGTTGCCGCTAAGCTGCTAGCGGCAGTTGCATCTTGTTGTCTATTCATTTGCAAAGTCTGTTCTGCGCGCGATATTAGCTCGCTGGCAGATTCCTGAACTGAAAACCCGACAGTGACAACAAAATCGATATTTGCACCAGGATTCTCCACGCACTGTATGGTTGTTGAACTATCAAATGGCACTCCAACTTGTTCGAGTAGATCTTGAACGGTACAAGATTCACGTGGCAATGTGAATGTTATGAGACGTTGTTCACCAGACACCAATATTACCAACATTTTAGCGCTATTTCGATCTTTCTCCGCCATTTGCGTATTGTTCCGATTCTGCATGACATGTTGTGTGTGAATTTCGTAGTTGTTGTGCGAAGTGCGGTGAACTGCTGAGGACGACGTTGCAGTTGTCGTAGGCATTTGCGATTGTTGTGACTGTTGAGGCTGTTGAACTTGTTGGGGTGCGACCCGTGCGATTGGCACCATCCCTGTACTTCCGGAGGCATGCGTCGGTAACATTTTATTGGGTGGTTGTGGTCCACTCGCGCGTAGTGGGGCTTTCATTTGCAAAATAGTGGCTGTAGTTGTAGTGGCCGATCCAGCCGTGGGCGGATGACGTTTGCGATACTCGGCCAAGGTAATACATGTGCCATTTTGGGTGCGTACCAAACGCGTATCATCGTCCTCTTTGGTGTAGTAGCTAGTCAGTGTGGTGCCTACGGGGGGGTTTGTAATGTTGGCGGTCGAAACCGCCGGTTTTTGCTGATCCTTCTTCACCACAACCGCTTGAATACTGTCTTCTAAGTCCAATTCATAGTTACCACTGCTACTACCGGAACTGTTACTGCTTCCTGCACCACTTCCTGCGGTAACAATTGGAGCACGGAAGCGGGCACCCACCAGCTGCGTTGCCCGTTGTTGCTGCTGCGCGGAACTTGCTAGTAACTGCAACTGTTGCTGGGACGTTTCGGCAATGTTGCGATATATGTGTTTCACTTGTCCTTGTGGATTTAAAATTGTGATATTTTTGCCCTGAACTACGGCGTTCTGTATGAGTTGCTGTGAAGTTGATATTTGCTGTTGTGGCTGTAATTGTTGAGATTGTTGTTGTTGCTGCACTATTGTTGCCGTTACCTGCGTTCCTCTTCCAGCGAGCGATGCTCCACCGCGTCCTCCACGTGCGGCACCACGTGCTCTTGTACCGCTTGCGCCTCCTCGGGGCCGTGGTGCACGGGGTGTTTGCTGGTGTAGTTGTGGCTGCATTGATGCAGTCATCTGCGGTCGCACAGCCCGACTTACCGGAGCAGCAGGCATACGAGCGATCAGAGTATGCGTACCACCAAGAGCACCACCTCCGCGTGGTGACTTATTACGAATAGCACCGCGCATAACACCACCTCCAGACACTCCCGCAGTCAATGCTGTTGCCACCAATTGTTGCTGCGGTTGCTGCTGCATTTGCAATGGAGATTGCTGCTGCAACTGGGGCTTTAACTGCTGAGGATTCTGAACTGCGGTTGCCTGAATGGGATGAAACACAACATTTTGTTGAGGTTGGGGCTGTTGATGTTGCTGGACTGTCTCTTGGGGCGAGGCACCTACTCTCGTCTGAACAAGGCGCGCTGTCGTGTGCATAGGTGTTGTGGTGGAAGATGTTTGTAATTGTATATGCTGCTGTTGCTGCTGCGGATGTTGCTGATGCGATTGCGGAGATTGCTGAAGTACAGCCTGAGTCTGCGGTTGTTGTTGCTGTTGAGGTGAATACAAAACCCGATTTGTGTTATAGATAATGCGTTGCTGTGGCATGGGCTGACGCATAATTATTTCCGAGTGTTGTGGAGATTGAATTAAAACTTGTTGACCCGAAGGCTGTTGCAATATGACGTGTGCATTGTTAAGCATCTGAAATGGAAGATGAGTTTTATTGTCTATAGTTTTCGCATGTCTGTGCTATATTTTAGATAAAATTTGGAAAAGGCATTTTTATAAATCCTATCAATTGAAGCCAACTTCATAACCTTAGTAACTTAAGTGGGAAGTTTTTATGCAGAAATTTATTAGAATTTATTAGATATTAGAAAACTGCTTTTGCAGATGTGGCAATTTATAGTTGGTGTTTTTTATAAATCATTTGCTTAAAAATTCAAAAAACTTCGATTTGAAAACAGCCCTTACATGTGAAAAACTACAGTTTGCCAATTTATAATATGCACAATGTTCTTCGTGGCATACCTTTTTGTCGTAATTTTTTTTTATTAGAACAAAAACCAAATAAATCCAAGTTTTAAAAATTGAACACGATTTAGGGATATTCCAAGTTTTAAATATTTATCAACAAAACTTCAAGTTTTTAATCATAATTTTAAAAACAATTTCCAGTATGCTGTTCCTATTTTCATTAAATACTACTTGGTCTTATACATATGAGTAGTCCACTTGCAAACAGCGTTATTTGATTTTATAAAAAATAAGCCATAAATTCAAAAAAAAAAAAAACCACTACGACAAGTAACATCTAAATTGAATTTTTTTTTGTTACCTGAAAATTTTAGTAAATAAGAGCCTAGTAACATTATAACATAAAATAACATTAAATTAACAGTCTATACGAACCAAAGCAGTTTTCTAAGTTCATCAGATGATAGAGACTTTTGAAAGTTTGTAAATAAAAATGATAGCGACCTTTGCAAGAGTAGTAACATTTGATGCTATTTTTTCAGAATATAAAAAAGATTTTGTACTGTGTTGTTAGTGGACATGAAACTAATGTAAATACTGGTACATTACCCACCAAAAACTAAAAATCGAAAATTTTTTTGTTTTTATCAATCTCATTCGTTAGTCTGTAACAAAACTCCGTTATGAGAACAAAGATATAGCATTCTTGTACAAAATGAGCTTGGGTATGTACAAGATATTTCAGATTATTAACTCGTTTGAAAAATTAAAGCTCCGCAGTAATTTCTACTATGATGTCCGACAGTTATAGTTATAGTATAAGAAATTCGATATTTGCTTTAAGAAATGGCAATGCTTGCATATCCGACTGTTGTAGAAACAATGGGTACCCACAGTACTTCGCTCTACATACGTATATCTAATCAGTAAGACCTAGCAAAGTAAACACCTATGTATGTATCTACATGTGTATATATATTTGCATGATCAACTTAAAAAGTTATTCGACACATCTTTTAGCCTCTCGCTATAGTTCAATCGTATATGTATATGCTACTCGTTTTCTCTATGACTCTATTAACCGCACTTCAAAGTTTCATCAACTCTGCAGAGTTGTAATAACGCGACTATGTATATACAGATTTTCCGGTGCTTTCTTTAATTCGTTCATTTCCAATGTGAAACATGCATTTATTTCCTCTATAGGAAGTTACAATAATTTGACTGAGCTTAGGATTTTAAGACAATATCCCCTTACCTGAGTTTGTTGAGTTTGTGGTTGTTGTGTTTGCATGCGATAAACAATTTGTTGAGGCTGTTGTGGCGCCTGTATTGAATGTTGCTGATGTACAATTTGTTGCTGTTGCTGCTGCTGATATTGCTGTTGTTGCACATGCAACTGCTGCTGTTGTTGCTGCTGATGTTGCATTTCCTGTTGCTGTTGTTGTTGAACCAATGAATTCGGTTGTAATATCGGCTCGGTGGTATAATACAATTGCGGCTGTTGTTGTTGCTGCGTCTGTTGTGCCAATTGGTGATGATCCTGCGGCATTTGTTGGCTTTCATGAACATAATGCTGTTGCTGTTGTTGTTGATGGTGATGATCATACATCACTTGTTGTTGATGTTGTACCGCCTGCTGTTGCTGCGATATTTCATCACCGATTATATATTGTGTGGTTGATGCAGCTGGCTGTTGCTGGTACTGTTGCTGTGCTGGTACATTGGCTGTCTGATATACTACTTGTTGACCTTCGTTTAGCATTAATTGGTCTTCGGGTAAAAGTAATTGCTGAGTTTCGAAGAAATTATAACAGTAATGGAAAAAGGATAAGGAGTATAAGTACTAAGTGGACATTTTTTGTTTATTGAATATGTAAATTAGGAGGCTAATACTTATAAATAATGAAATAAAATCTCGTTAATTTGCAATTTTGCATAGGAAAAATAAAAATCGTTTTCCATTAAGATTTGTTTAATTTTGATCTATTAGTTTCTTTAATGATGTATGCACTTTTTAGAATAATTAATTATATTTATCTTTTTAAGGGGGTAAAAAATCTGAATACAAAAATATAGGGCGTGAAAGAAATACATTACGGATTTTCATCTAACGTTACAAACTGCCGATAACTGTGATAAAATTATTTATGTATTTAAAATTTTGCCCGACCAAATTCTTATGACGAATTTCCCCTAGGCATTGTAATGAATTTAATGACTCTTTTTTTAACGTAATAACACGATTATTTTTTAATGCTTAACTTTGTCATTTGTGATTTCTGCCATTTAGTGCCTATTGGAAATCCGGGAGGAATGTTTTATATATATACATACATATATGACAGCCGAAACTATTACAATTTAAAAATTTTCCTCTACCTGAAAAACTTGAAAAAAAAAAATAAAACAAAATTGCACATCTCTATTTCTACATCAAAGCATATTAAATAATGTATATTAGCGCTACATTATAGATCTATATAAGTAAGTTTTATTTATTAATAAAGAAAAAATGAAAGTCTGTAAACCTGTGGTCGAGTATGGGCACCAACACCAGCATCCTCGCTTGCAACGTGCACCACTTGGACATCTGCGTAGATCTGCTTTAAATCATCGAGATTTTGTATTTGATAATATTGCGCCATTGGGGGCCCTCTCTGTTAATTAAGATAATAAAGAAGTTACATATTGTATATAAGAATTATGTTCATTCTATGGTACTTATTAAATGACATTTGTAAAGTACACAATATCACCACAAGCTATAACCCTAAGCCGGCGACCACTTTTTAAGATACATCTTTTAGATAAAGGCTGGTTGAAATGGTTACTTAAGCCCACTCCATTGCTGCGCGTAGTCCAATCTACTTGACAAACCATATTAGGTGCATTCATTAACTAAGTATGAGAACCGTATAGGTACATAAACGGCAATCTCAATTTGTTAGAATTTTTGGACAACCCAAAAGATTTTTTTTTGGTAATAAGCTGGAGTAATAGTCATTGGCCAGATATAAACTTAGACCATTGCGGTTACGTGGCGGCCGCTGTGGTGTAGTGGTAAGCAGTGCGCGCTTCCACTCCGCAGCGTCTGGGTTCAAGACCCGGTTAAACCAACAACGAAAAAAAATTTAGAACAAGTTTTTTCTTAACAACTGTCGCCCCTCGGCAGGCAATGACACACCTCCGAGTGTATTTCGACGTAAAACTGTAGGTCGCTCCGCTTTGTGTGACAACATTAAGGCGCAAGCCACAAATCGGAGGAGAAGCTCGGCCAAACATTAATAAGTATTTGTGTAAGCGCCAATCTATTATTATCATTGCGTTTACGTACATAGATCTGGCTGCCGTGGGAATGCACCGTCTGCTGTTTCAGAGTGTACTGAGGATAATTTCGGATGTGAAGTCCCGCATTTGCATACATGTGTACTGTTAGTCACAAAATTGAGCGCCCGGCTCTTTTTTTATTAATATTCGCAATGTTTTACATCTTAAATTTTTTTGTTAATTTTGTTATAAAATATGGCTTATGTTTTAGCAAACTCCATTTAAATCCAAGAATGATGCTGTGTACAAAAATTAAAAAAAATTTCAATTTTTTTACGAAGAAATGCGTAGGACAGCCAGCAAAAAAAAATCTCCAAAATCAACGCGAATTTTTGGAACTTGAAATTTGCACATTGAACTAAAATTTAATGTGCTATAAAACTGTATACCTGAATTCTTTTTAGAAATTCGTATTAAAAAGTTCGCGAAACTTTGTAGATTTTTCTAAATTTTTGTACAGTATCATTCTTGGATTTAAATGGGATTTGCTAAAAAACAAACCACGTTTTAAAACAAAATAACAAAAAAAATTTAGCGTGTAAAACATTGCGAATATTAAAAAATAAGAGCCGTACGCTCAATTACAGTAACAGTATGTATTATTGTCTCAAAAAACTCTCATGGCTCATAAACGTAAGTGAAGTAACTAACAAAAATCTGATTTGTCAAAACAAAAAAGCGTAGAGCAAAAATATGTAGTCATGTAAAAAAATTTCCGCATCGGACCAGGGATGGAATTTCAAAATTTCACAATGTGCCTAATGGTCTTTAAAAATAGTGCCGAAAAGCAGATAAAAGTGCCACAAAATTTAAATTTCTTTCTTTAAAGGCCTTTTAAGAACAATATATGTTTAGAAATAGTATTTTTAAAATACAGTAAGGTAATATAATATTCATCAATTCACCAAGTTATTGCAGTAAATCACTTTGATGAAGGATTCCTTAGACATATATACATTAATTCACAGCAAAATAACACAGTATTCTAATTAGGAAGGGGAAATACACCGAAATATATAAATCGAACTTTGTACAAAAATTAAAACAATCCAGCAGGTTTTCCCAACAACAAAATTTTAATTCAAAATTTTGAACTGTATAGCGAACTTTACTTTTTGTGATGCGTATTGACAATAGAATTCAGCGTTTTATTAAGAGCTGTCACACACTATTTCTCAAGTTTCACTTTTTGTAATTTTTTAATCTATAATGTCGTATGTAATTTTTTGTTATATATAATTTATGGTTGTGCCAAAAGAGGATGGGGTTGGCTTTCCAAAACGGAACCAATCGAGATTTCAGCGAAAGTATATGGAATTTCGTTATGCAACTTGGTGAGGATGTTGGGGGAGGCTTTCTCCACATGAATATATCACTCTGACAAAGTAGTTGTTAATAGTATTTAAGCAATTTGTTGTTAAATAATCTTCACTACTACTCCCAAAATTTTGTACAAAATACCACTTTTCACTCATATTTTGTGTGATATACTATATTTTCTTTGTTCACGTGCGTATTTTATACTTTTAATATATATATATATTCATAAATTAATTAAGAAATTCGTTCACGCGTTTTTAGCATTTTTCACAAACAAACAGAAGTTGCGTTCCCCAACTTTTCTGGTTAAAACCTGTAAAACTGTCAAAAAGCAAAAGAAGCCAGAGAACCGAGTACGGGAACGCTTTCTGGTATATTCCTGTAAATTCTTGCAACTTCCTGCGAGTTAGGGAACGCAACTATAGATAACAATGGCCGACAGTAAGAGCAAATGTGTGCTGTCATACTTCTTGATGCTATAAAATACACCTATAAACGGTATTATTTTCGTTTTTTTATTGATTCCTTAGTTTTTTAATATAGCTCCATATATTTCGAAAATTTGTAATAAAAAATCGCATTACCAATTTTCGCCTGCTGGGCTTTTTACTATAAAATCGATACTTCGAGAATAATGCGTTTGCGTGTTTTCGCTCGAAAAATGTTAAATATTCATTTGCACAAGACATTTTTAGGGAAAATTTTAGAAGACGGACGGTAAATTCTAGAAAAAGAGGGTATGAGGG